CAAGTCGAAACCATAGTGAAGGTCTGTACGACAAGACTGTGCACCTAAATTGGATCCAATATGAGCATATGGTGCGGGAGGTGACATTATAAACAAGCCTGTGTCATATCTCTGGCTAAATCTTAATCACCTTAGGTGCAGTTTTATGAGCTCAACGTATTCAATCCCATATCGCACCTTTGATAATTCACATAACCAAACATAACTCACCTGAGCTTACCTGAGCGTCCATAGCACCACAATTATATATAATGCATCATATACCAATTCATATGCATGACATTTAAAGCATACTTTCATTTAAACACATATTTCTAGGAAAATATCAAGTATATAAATATATACTTAAAACCAAAAGCCCACTCACTAGTATGTCGAAGGGTCGTAGCCCCCGAGTCTCCCTTGAACGCGCTCGTCCTCGAGATAAGTCTCACCTATATGTGAATTAACTATAAAAACGTTATTTAAAGCACATAGGCAGAACTAGCTAATAACTTTTCATACAATGCTTAAATGGGGTGTTTGAATATACCAATGTGATCTACACAACTCCACGAACATCCCCATATTTTTAGAATAATTTTCTGACCATCCACCCGCCGCCACGCGCCGGCCAAGGCACGGCAATACGCACCCCCACGCGCGGCCACGTGACAGGCATACTAAAGGCATCAATCAACGCCGTCAGGAATATTTCGTCAAATAGTAACAGAATCTGTTAAATTTAACTGACACCGTGGAATATTCCATCAAACTTGACAGAATATTCCGTCATCCCTAACCTTGACCTCCGGCAACCGTCGCCGGCGTCGGAAACTAGGTAATTTTTAAAACCATGATTTCTCATCCAATTCTTAACCAAATTGTATGAAACTTGAACCGAATTAAAGCTTACTTCAAATAGAACACAACCATACCTGTTACACACCCTAAAACTCACGGAATTCGTCGGAAAACTCCACGATATTCAGGCCCGAAACTAAAACTCTCCGTTCTTGCTATCCCGACGTTCAAATTCTTCCAACGAACCACTCCTAGCCTCGTGTGGACCTCTTCAAGCTACCTATGATATTAAAATCACCTGAAACATCCATATTTACGTCCACATGAACAGTGCCATAAACAGAGGTTATGGTTCTCGGGGTTTTTCAAGGTTTCCAATCCTAAAACTAGTATAGATGAACTCAGAAGCTTGCAAGGAACAAGAATATTACCTTAAAAACATCGATCCGTGCGTGGATGTGTGAGTTGGTGCTCGTCTGTACGTGAGGGAAAGAGAGAGAGAGAGTCCGAGAGTGAGAAAGTACGGGAGAGAAGAGAGAGAGGGATGGTGTGTGTGTGTGTCCATGTGGTCAACAACCAAAACCACCAAACATTTTCCTTTCCAATTTGTTCCAAAAATTAGGGGAAAATGCTAGTTTGAACCCCTAATCAACAAGCATAACACACCACCACGTTCACATCCAAGGGTAAAATCGTCATTTCACATCGTCGAAATTAAATATTCGGGACGGCTGTGACATTAATTGTCTATTTTACCCTATTGTATAATTACTATTAAGTACAAAATGAAATTAATAATAAAAATCAAATTTATCAATTGACCCACATACTATAATTGAACCCTAGCATCACCCTTTGTTTATCCTATGTTCATTCCGACTAAAACCCTAATAGCTCTGATAGAGAAAAACGAGTTTTTCTATTGATGGATGGTGATTTTGAAGTTTTTAATCCTCCAACTAAGGTATGACTCGATTTATGGATATTTTGTTTGTTTGCTTCTTCTTTGGATTAAATTTCATTCTTTTTTATTATATTGTATTTATTTTTCTCTGCCGTCTGTATGCGCCCCAATACACCAATGCAAGGACTTTTGATTAGTAGTACAAAGACATAAAACTTGATTCTTGGTGCAAATAAAGATTGCTCAACCTTAACCACGAACTAGTGGGTGGCATGTTTACACCTTTTTTTATTCAAAATAGCTCCAATTTGTTTATTTGTTTATTAACATAGCAGCAAAACACCCAGCCCTATGTCACTTCAAAGTTTCTTAAAAAATACATGAAAATACTCGATTTAAAAAGGACTGAACTTGAGCTTGTTTAACATTCTCTTGGCAAATTCAAGTCTATGGAATGATCTCTTGGATCCCAAGTCCATGGATGGGTTGTGGTAGCAGAAAAAAGAAAAGAAAAAAAAGGCAACTATGGAAATGCTAGTCCTATACGGCATATGCAATTATAGAAGGGCAAAGGATGCCTCTTTGAAAAGAAAAAAAAAACATTTAATTAGAGATGTTATTTTATAAAGAGAATGGGTGTAAAGATAATTTTACATTTTGAATTGGGTTTGAGAATGTAGTTTAGGTAATAAATTTGGGTTCAAAGAGAAATTAATTCTTTAATAAAAAACAATATGGGTGAAGAGAGTAAGTTGGGTGTAGAAAGAGATTAGATGGGTTTAAAATTTCCCTATTTGGAATGACCCGTGGTTCCGATCCCCTTCTCTGCCGGAGCCTGTTGCTTGTGCTCTCTCGACGGTAGTGATCTCATTGACCCCATCTCCAAATCCTGGAATGTTACAGACGCTATTCTCAGTTGACGAAGTGGAATCCCTTTGAGTATCTGCTCACCCCCCCCCCTGATTCCCTTATATGGCATTATAATCCTAAAGGGCGCTTCACTATGCAGTGTGCATACTTGGTTGCTCGTGAATGGGTCAACCGATCGAACAATGGGGCCTCCTCTTTGAACTCAAGCGTTGCCGCCAAGTTTTGGGACAAGATTTGGAAGGCCAAAATCCCTCCGAAGATCAAAGTTTGTGTTTGGAGATGCAAAAATCTATTGCCTACTCGTTCTAATCTAGCCAAACGGCATGTTACGGGCGATCCATCGGGTGTAATTTGTAATGCCCAAGAGGAGTCAATTTTACATCTACTCAAGGACTACCCCCTTTGCTAGATGTGCTTGGTTACCTTCCCCTTTGGGCATCCCACTGCGTGGATTTAATCCCCACTCACCTATACTTTGGTTTATGGAAATTGCTGACCAAATGCCGTTTTCCAACTTTGATTCCTCTTGGTCATTAGTTGGGCCATCTGGGGTGCTAGAAAATCCATGTTGTCGGATAGTACATGTGACCCCCCTGAAACTATTGTGGCTCGCGGCCTCCAATGGTGGCAATCTTTCGTCCAATCAAACGCCTCTCTGCCACCCACCTTTGCGAGGCCTCCTGAAATCGAGAAGTGGTCTCCTCCCCTGGTCGGTTCACTGAAGATTAATTTGGATGGGGCTTGGAATCCGCAACTTAAAATGGGTGGCTTCGAATGCATTTACAGGGACGCATCAGGGAACTTCTTAATGGCAAAAAGTGGCAGTTACTCTGACATTTTCTCCCCTCTCCAAGCCAAAGCATCTGCCTTCCACGAGGCTGTGGTTTGGGCGACAATCAATCATTTTTTAATCTGATTCGCTTTAGATTGTGCATGCCTTGTCTGATCCTTCTACCAATTTGTCTCCAGTTGGGTAAGTTGTTGAAGACATTAAGGCCTTTCTTCCATCAATCATTGAAGCTTCATTTACCTGTGTTCGTCGCCAAGCCAACGGTGTTGCTCATCGTCTTGCCTATCTTGGTCTTTCTATTACTCAAGGTTGTGAATGGTTTGATTCCCCTCCAAGTATAATCCTAGATGTGCTTGTTGGGTATTCCTCTTCGCCTAAAACTGGCTTTGTACTCGACCATTGTAACAACTTTTTCATCAATCTACTATCGTTTCTAAAAAAATTAAAAAAAAATTAAAAAAAAAACTTGGAATTTGAATAAAAGTCAAAATTTATAAATTGACATGCACCAATTCTTTTATTTGGATTTATAAACCTAGAAATTTAAAATTTCCTCGTGGAAAAAAAAAACTTGGAATTTGGGACCTCCAATTCTCAAGTTTAAATTTCATGTAAGTGTCATTTCCCAATTTCTATGATTGAGAGTTTAAAAATAACAAATTATGTATTCAATTCCATTATTCTTTTACACTACGTTTGGATGAAAAAAATTAAAGATTACTAAGGAATTTTAAAATGACATAATTTTATTTTCTAGAATTTATGAATTTTCTTATTTGGTTAACCTAAAAGATGAAATTGAATATGGAATTTGTTATTTTTAAACTCTCAATCATAGGACTTGGGTAATGACACATTTTTACATGGAATTTAAACTTGGAAATTAGAGCTCCCAAATTTCAAGTGCTTTTTTCCACACGGAAATTCTAAAATTCTATGTTTATGAATCCAAACAAGGGAATTGATGCATGTCAATTTACAAATTCTGACTTTTATTCAAATTCTGATTTTATTTCCCTCATCCAAACATATAGGTTAACCGAACAAGAAAATTCACAAATTATCATCTATTTATAATAATAAAACTAGGAAAAGCTTCAACATTAATCTATACTACTTATTAACAAAACCTCTTTGTCAATAAAAAAAAAAAAGAGTGAAAAGACAAAATTAACCTTGTCAACAAAACTAAAGAATAGCACCCAAAATAAAAGTTATGTGCAATATTGTAAATTAACCACAAAATAGTTTTATTGTTTTTCTTAAAGCCTCACAACCAGCAACCATATTAGTTGCCCTCATTTTCTAGTCCTTGTTTTTCTCCCAAATAAAATAAACTTTCAATGGCAAAATAATTATCCTGAAGCAGTTGCAAAGATATGAACCTCTGTAGTGACAAAAAAATCATTTGAAGATTGTCACCAAGATGCTTTAGCGACCATTATATATTTTCTCTTTGTAAATTTATTTTCAAAATTTTAATAAGCACACGCATGCTAGAATTGCTAGTATATTATTGAGAGACTGTTTGTCAACCATTTTCTGAAAATATCATTCGTGTCCTTATTTTTTCTATTTGACCCTTAATTGCAATAAACATTTACATAATAAGGATACATTAGTACTTTAATTGAATATTTACAATCATTTAAATAAATTAAAATATTTCCTTAGTTGTATAGAATTGAAATTTAAGGAGCACATTGCTTCAAACAATTCATAATTTATTCCTGAATCTGTTTGAAACTAAATTTAACGAGCCACTAGCTTTTGACGTAAAACCAACAAATACAAATACAACACTCAATTTATGTTTCTATAAAGTAAAACCAGCTAGCTAAAACTTGAGCTGATCGACTTCAGCCATTTCCGCTTCAGCCTCTTGTACAAAGAGCAACTTCTGCCCGTTTTCTTTCCACACTATCTTAGATGGAAATAAATTAGCAGCCAATAAACATTTCCAGTCTAAGGCACACAGCATATGCACAAAAAGTATTTATAACACGCAACGTAGCAGGCTGTAAAGATGAGTAGAGATTATTTGACTCAAATATGCTTCCCTATTGGGATCTGCAAACCGTGTTCAATAAGGAACAACGATGGATTCTATAAGCTCTTGCAGCGGAGCTAGCTCCTTCTTGTCAATTAGCACGAATTCCTGCAAAAAAGAAAAAGAAAAAGAAAAAAGATGCAGTATAATGTAATCAGCCTACGGCTTTGCCAACAAGTATTGTCCATCAAGTAAGATAAAGCCATGACTCTTATGCATTAGTAATATCGTTCTCTCCTAACTATTATGTTCTTATGCCGGGAATATAATTTTTATCGGATACCAATAAAGCCATGACAGGTGTTTGGACAACTACATGTCTATGCACTTTTGATAAAATTGAATTGAATGTTTGAGCATCTCAATTTAATGAACCATACAAAGATGAATACAAGTGGGCTATTGGTACTTTTTCCCACTAGCATCATTTTTGGGAATACAATCAAACTGTACATAATCCATGTCTTCCTACCACATTTTTGGGGAATTACATCAAATCTAAGTTTCACAAAAGCAGACGTTTCAAACTGTATGACACTTTCCACCAGCTTTTCCCAAGAAATGGAAGCGTGACCAAGGTATGCTTACTAAAGCAGAAAATAAACGATGGCACTCTTACTCCTAAAGTCCCCAACACATCCAAAGTGAACGAGTTGAGGCCTATCTCCTGCTTCAATACACTACATAAAATCATTTCAAAGCTCATTGCTAAAGGAATCGAGGCTGTTCTTCCCGATACTACTAATCATGACTCATTACCAATCTGCATTTGTTGTTCGCACAAGTCCTACAAGCCATGATGTGATGGATCCAAGCTTACATTACCTCTAAGTTCTCCAATAGTCAATGGTGAATTACCTAGCAAGAGCAGGTTGTGCCAACTGTGAATTACAAAGGTTCTTTCACTTGTTCTCCAAAAGAATATCCTAGCTAACCATTCTTTCAAATTCTATTGGAAGTGCAGTAAGCTTAGAATCGCTCATATTTGATTTCTGATGACCTCATCATGCTCAGTCATAAGGATCTTCACTTGGCTTCAGATGCCCTTGATAATTTCCTTTCTCCCTCGATCTCAAGCCTAGGAAAATACAAATAACACATCTTTCTCTGGATTTCCAAAGCCAAATCACTCACCCCTATCAGGTACTTCGGGAGCTGAAGGACTAGCTCGCAGAGATTTATTTCCCATGTACGACATTTTTCGATTGCAACTGTGATAAGCAGTTTCTGTCTGCGTTCCAGTCTCCTAAAATGATTTGGAAGTCTAGTATTCCTTCTAAGGTTTGTGTTTTGGCTAGGATCATAGCTCACGGAAAAGCAAACACTTGCAATTCAATACAGAGAAGATCCAATATTTGGCTGTCTCCTAACTGGTGTATTTTGTGCAAAAGAGAGACGGAATCTGGAAGTAGCTTGTCCTTACATTTTGCATGTACATTGGGGTCTCTGGTAGTAGTTGGTTGAGGTTGCACAGGTTAGCTTGGGTTATTCCTCAGTTACAATTCAACGTTGTTTGTGAAAAGTCGCAGATTCCTTACAGGCTTCACCCTCTATACCCTGTAGAGAGAGTTTACTCACTATAAATTAATTACATCAGGAAGCTGCTGTAGTTTGAGAGTTGTGACTCTGATGTCAGAGGTGCATTTTGGTTTTATGCATTTTATCAAAACCTTAGTTGACCCCTTACCAACAGCTAGACCACAATCAAACCACTCCCACTCCCAACCCCACACCCCTTTCCACCAATCCTTTGTCCTGCTCACTCAATCCAAGAACAGATCCAAAAAGTTTAGGGCACGTGGATTGCCCCCAAAGGGGTGCCTAATTCAAGGGCCAATTTAAGTCAAAGCAAGACGATAATCAATTTCAGAATGTTATTGACGTCATCAACAAGATACAATGATTAATTAAACAAACGTACAACTAGATACTTTTCAAAAAGAAAAGAAAACAGTTATTGCAATAGTAAGAGTACTTACACAGGTAAATAGTATGAAATGCTTGAAGCAAGTATTTAAATGGGCCTCCTCCTTAAGGCTCACAATTTTCTGGAAATGAGAGTGATATATGTGGGCATATACACGGAACAATCTTTTGAATATCGTCTTCACAACCTCCCTGAAATTGGGGGGGAAATGGTGCACCTGAAAGACAAAGAAAGTGAACAGACAATGAATTATATTAATTAAATGAACAACAAAATATGAAGAAAAGAAGATATCGTAATAAATAGTATTACCAAGCTTTTGGGGAAATATGGATTCATCATCAAGTTGAGATTCAATCCAGTCCATTAGATATTCAACATATTTTGGAGCCGAAACCTCAATAGGTTTCTTAATTAGTACACCATCGGCCCACCTATACTCATACCTGTAGAGTTTTAACAAACAAAAACGAAACATCATAATTAAAAACAGAAGCTGGATTAGAATAAAAGTTACTGTAGGCACAATTTGACCAGTCGTTAAAATTGTCCAAGCCATCGGGTAAAAAGAGAAATTGGGCGTACAGAATTTTTCTGAAGTTTTACATGAAAAACAGTGTAGTAAGTTGCTGACAGTATTTCAAAACTGATTTCATGTAATAGTATCTCTAGAGCTGGCAGGTCTTGGTTAGCAGACGAACCACATTCTGAATGACCAGAATGGTATATGAAATTATGCAAGTACTGGGTTGTGGGTGCTAAGAAAGGTATAAAATCCAAAAGAGAAAGGAGAAGTTGAGGCATGAAAGGTCCACATACTGTTTAAAAGAGGAGGTTGGTTTCCCATGAAGCACAGATGTTGGGACAGGGTGGTGCAAGGCGTAGAGATAGGTAGAAGCTTCATTTATCTTATCCTACCATGCACAGACACGGAGGTTTACCTCCGTATCCCGTATCTGACACACAGGGATACGGATACGCAACAGATATGTGTGGATACGTATCTGAGTCAACGGATACGTAGTTGACTGCCGGGATACCCGTATCTGACTGTTGAGATACGAGTATCCGACTTTCCGGTACGTTTGCCCCTTAAATTCAGAGGATAATCACAAAAAAAACCAAAGATAATTGTACTTAATCCAGATGGAATCGTGATAATTGACCAAAAATTTGAAACGATTCCGTGTATAAAATTTTGGATCTACCTTATCTAAATAATATTGATATTGAATACTTAATCCTTTTCATAGTAGTTTTGATTAATTGTGTTAAACATGTCAGTATTAGAGAGTCAAATTAATAGTTTATTTATAGTCTATCAATATGTGAACACCTACTAGCAAACGGAACCAATTGCTATTAATTTCAGGATTAAAAAATCTAGGTTTCTTAAACCCTTGTACTTAGTGTGTTTCCATGCTCCCCAGAGACTTTTGGTAGAAAGACAAGAAGCCAGTAACACATGGTAAAACCCCAAACAAAACTAATGATTTCAGGAAACAAATAGCAAAACGGTTTTAATAAAAAAAGATAACACTCCCATACTTGGGGCCTGCAGTCATTGTAGGACAATTCTCTGGAGTACAGAACTCTGTGAGGGTACCATACAACAAGTTGACCTGATTGAAGAAATCCACAGCTGAAATTAAAACACCGACAACAACATTTCAGAAATAGTGTACACAAAAGAGATTGAAGCAAATAAAAAATTGCTGGAAGAAGGTACTTGACTGTTGTAACGAAGTTTATTTTTCCTAAAAGACTTGAGAAAATGAAATTCACACAATTGTTGCCGCTTTTTCTTCTTCTTTTTTGTGTGTTTTTTACTCGTTTAGTCAAGGTGCGGGGACATGAGGAACACAAGATCAGATGTGAAGGAAGGAGCAAGAACATGTAAAATGGTCTTTGTACTTAGTTTTAGTTTTATCTATTCCTACTATTTTTATCCTCAACTCTCATTTTTCCTCAGTACCTCATTTCTCTCCTCTTTCCCTTCTTTAATTGGAAGAAACACAAAGGCAAGCCCTACAAATTTCTGGTTTTTGTCTGGAACACAGTAATATTATGAAGTAAAGTCACTCCCTTTCAACTGATTATTCTATACTTTTAAATTCTAGCTATTTTCTCACAATCCTTTCTACGAGAGACACATGAAAACATAAATATATTTTCAAATAATATTTCAAGTTGCATCCAAACAAAAGAAATTCGGAGGAAAGAGTCCCATTTTCATGTAAATCCTTTTACATAGAAACTTTTACTGTCTAAGACATCACACAACAAGCTAAACAGAGATTTTATGCAACCATATGTTCTTCCTTTGATAAGAAACAAAACTTTTAACCACGTATCAACCATTTAATGGACAAAACAAACTATAAATTGACAGTTTGTGATGTGTGTGTGTGTGTGTGTGTGTGTGAGAGAGAGAGAGAAAGAGAGAGAGAGAGAGAGAGATAGAACTGTTGACAGCAAGCCATTCATTTAAATCTTCTCCAGTTGGAAGTTTTACTGCCTCTCTTAGGTTGCCGCTACCAAGTGTAGCATCAATATGCTTTCTAAGCTGAGCACCCTGCATCAAGAGAAAAAAAAAATAACGACTTCAGTTATACCTATATGAATGTAGTATAAAATCAGTTACTTTCACTTTGCATCTTTAAATTATAACTTCATGAATGTTAATTTCTGATTCAAGTCAGGTTTAAACATGCTCCTTTCTTGTTCCAAATTGTCCATATTATCATTTAAGAGATTTAAACTCACAGGTACAGGTTTAAACCATAAAAGTTTCAAAGTTTTAAATCCCACATCATGAGGTTAAACACTAGGAGAAGATACGCGTAGTAGCTAAATGCAAGGACAAAAATATATTCAATTTCTAAGTAAGGAGAATCAGATGAGAAAATAAGAAAATTAGGTTTACAACTTATGCCCATATAATATGGGTATAAACGGCTACAAAAACTCAATAAAACTTTTGTATATTGGAAGAACAATGAACCAGTATATATTAGATACATAAATAAACTCAGGGAGAACAAGTTAATTAAAGGCGAACAACCTTGCTCCCTGAAGGTGCACTTTTTTTCGGGCGGAATGTCCTCTGGTTTCTGCACCATTAGCAAACTTCAGTTTTACAAAATTGATAGTGACTAAAATCATAATGTACTAAACAACTAAGAAGCAAATAAAATTGCATTTATGTACGTGCACATACTAACACAGGAAAATAACAAGCACAATATTTATGAAGAGGAAACACGAGGAATACAAGAAGCATGAACAAGTAATGATAAAGGCAAGTAAAACAACATAAGAAACAGAAAAACCAAAGAAAAAACCTAAACTCCCCCTCCGATCAAGAAAATCACAAAATGTTCTGACAGAGAAGCCCCGACAGAAGCAAATAGTCTAACCGGCAGGAAAAAAATCCAAAAGAAGACATCAAATCACAAATTTCATAGATCAAGTGACAGGGACTCCAGCATAACACATCGGCCATCAACTGATCAGAAAATCAAAATAACGAAACAAAAACTTCCATCAAAAGATTCAGAACCAAATAACACCAGAAATGAAACGGGCATAGAAGAAAGCTCCATTCTTGGGGTTGGGGGATGAAAAGTTTGAACTTGCCTGCCCAGACCGAAGAGACTCATAGCTTGAAAGAGAGAGAGAGAGAGAGAGAAGGAAGAGGGGTTTGCGTATTGTCAATTTCTTCGCCTTTCTTTCAGATGCGATCGGGTTGATTAAAGAACAGGCCCTTACTTTTTTTTTTGTAAACTCGAAAGAAACAAACAAAAAAAGTTCTGTTTCTCCTCTACTTTAATCTAATATTTTAAACTTAAAAACAATTTTCAAGTTCTAGGTCTTAAAAATTTGTTTGTTAGGATTATTTTCAAAAACTGAACTCAAAACTAATTCAAAAATATAATCTATTATCTAAAAACATAAAAAATGAGTTTTTAAACTTAAACTCACTCGTTTCTTTTCTCTTCATCATCCTCTCTTACTCCAAATTTATCTCTATTTTTCTTCTTTCTCTCCTTTTTTTTGTTTTTTTTTTTTACTTTTTTCGTTTCTCCTTCCACTCTCTTCATTCTCTCGTTATTTATCTTAATCATCTTCCTCTCTATCTCGTCTGATCCTCCTCTTTTTTCTCTTTCCTTCAATCATCTCTTACTTTTTTTCCTCCTTTCTCCTTTTTCCCTATTTTTTGATCTCTTTGTCTAGTTTAAGTCGTACTTTGACCTTTGACCAGTTGACTTTGACTGTTGATGCGGTCAACGGTCAACGTTGACTCGGTCAACTATCAGAGTTTGACTAAATGTACTCCTTTATGTGAATAGGTGCAATTATTAATGGTGATTCCGTTATACCTTTTTGGTACAGCTTTGCACCATCGGTGTACGATGAGTGGACCCCTTCAAAAGCATGTTTTAATAATACAAATGCATACATGAAAAACATGATTTAATACATATGTTTTATAAAGTATTTTATGAGATAATATGCTTACTGAGGCTAGATTGAATTATTACTATTTTTCCTATAACCCATGTTCTTATTTTCCTATAACCCATGTTCTTATAGAATACCTGATGGATGACGATATGATATTTAGAACATGTTTAGAACACCTCTTTATAGTATAGATGATGGATGACTTTATACTATGAAGTTTTTTTTCAATATTGATATGTTCAATGGTTTTGTACTTACCTAGTGGTCCTTTCCACTACGGGACGTAGGGATAGATTTCGGTCCGTCCCGGGCGACGGTTTGGTGTTGGCATAGGGCCTGGAGGGTGTTTCCTCTGGCATTTAAGACCAGGGACGGGGAGCCGGCAAGGGGCCTGTAGTGTATTTTTCTCTGACTGTCTGCTCAGAGACAAGGAGCCGGCATAGGGCTTGGGAGTTATTGAACAATTCACTAGTGATTATTATATATACAAGTTATGATTTGAGATACTTCACATCATGTTAGGTTTCGGAAAACCTATGTTTTACATTATATATATGTTTTCATAAGCCTAGGGGTTAATATGTTGATAATTGTTTTATTATATTTATATCAATTGGTCCACTCATGTTTGTTTTGCGCCCCCTTCAGGATCTACAAACGAGGATTACAATTTAAGCTATGAGGCCTTTCCCTACCAGTGATCCAGTGCTATATTTCCTCTGTTTCAATATCTATTGTAATATAGCACATCTCTATCTTGAATTCTATTTGTACTCTGTAATAGACGTAAGCTCTGAACTGATGTTATGATCCTAATTTTATTAATTAGAAGTTGAAGTTTAGTATTATGTTGCTAGTTCCTTCTGCCTGTTTTAGCTTATTTATGAGCTTTTACTTAAATTAAATGGCTTTCGTTACCCTTCGGGTGTCGGCCAGCACGTGACCATCCCGATGTCCCGAGGACATCGGGATCGAGGCGTGTCAGATTGGTATCAGAGCATGATTCTTTCAGAGCATACTTAGGATTCTTTTCCACCATTTGGTAATTATAATTCTCTTTATATCCTTAATTTCCTGTTGTTCTAAATCTTTCTTGTTTCTTATCAGAATTATGGATCCCGCTGGTAGGAATGTACCTCGTCGAGCTCGTTCTGGTATAGGGGGAGGAATTGAGCAATTGGCTAATGTTTTACGAAATGCCTTTACTAATAGATCATCAAATCGCACCTATATTGAGATTGCTACCAGTCATGGTATTCCGGAACTTTGGGTAGTGGGAGCTTGTCCGGAGGCTGAAGAATGGTTGGAGCAGGTGGAAGACACTCTGGAAGGTATGAGATGTCCACCAGGTGATTGGGCAGAGACTGTTGGTTATTTTCTTAAGGGACCTGCAAAGATTTGGTGGAAAAGAGTGAAGCATGCTCTTCCACCAAGTACTTCGATGACTTGGACAGCATTCCAGAAAGTTTTCAGTGCACATTTTCTGAGTCCCAGTTATCAGTTGAGGATGAGACAGCAATTCCTGGAGTTTCGTCAAGGCGATCTGAGTATCACAGAGGTGGATAATACTTTTCGACGCCTGTCGAGACATCATGCAGGGACTTATGATAACTCGAGTGAGAACATGGTTCAGTTACTGATCGACGTCTGTCGAGACATCATGCAGGGACATCATGCAGGGACTTATGAACGAGTGGCAGCCATAAGGCATAGAAGTTATGAGGAGATGATTGAGACTTGTTTAAGGATTGAGCAATCTAGGTGGGAGACTCATAACCAGTAGCAGGCACAGTATCAGGAACAACCTCGGAACCAGAACCAGAGGGGTCGTGGTTTTCGATCTCGGAGTGTGAGGGAATCTGGTAGCTCCTCTAATTTTGTTGGCCCTAGACACTCTCATTCCTTCAAACGTCAAGGTCAGGGTTCAAGTTCTTCTAGCAAGGGTTCAAGCAATGAATCTGGAAGGCGATCTTTCAGTCACTTCAGATCGCAGATTATGTGTCACAGGTGTGGAGGCACAGGGCATATTGCCAGAGTTTTCCCTTCTAGACAGCCTCCTGAGAGTTATGCATCTATGCCGAGTTATGGTGGATGGAGTAATCCGAGTTCTAGCTATGGCGGCAATTACACTCAAAGTTATGGCGGCAATTACACTCAAAATACCCAATTTTCCACTCAGAGACAGCCGCAACAGTTTGGTGCAGCTTCGAGTAGCCGCTCTCAGGGGAATCGAGCAGGCCGTAATAATCAAGGTTTCAGGGCTCGTGGTAACTGTAACAGTGGGGTAGGACGTTAGTTTCATGGACGTATCAACGCCATGACACAGCAGGGGGCTGAGCAGGATCCTCAAGTTATTACCGGTATATTACTTATTTGTGGTAATTGGGCGAGGGTTCTAATTGATCCGGGTGCTACTTTTTCATATATGTCTTCATTTTTTGCACCGAATTTAAATGCACCACCAACACCTCTTGGGTATGATATGCTTGTGCAAATGCCGCAATGAGATCTGTTCTGTGCTCAGTGGGAGTATAAAAGTTTCCCAGTAATAGTGGAAGGGGAAATGATGGAGGCTAATCTGGTCCCTTTCATTTGGCGAAGTTCAATGTTATTTTGGGGATGGATTGGTTATCCATGCATCGTGCTTATGTCGCATGTTGGGAGAAATCTGTGACGTTCAATCAGCCTGGACGATTGTCGATCACATTTCAGGGTGAGCGACGAATCCTTCCTAGTAGTATTATTTTCGCTATTCAAGCAACTAAATTGTTGAGTATGGGATGTGTAGGATTCTTAGCCCATGTAGTGACGAGGGATAAATCTTCGTTGCGTCCTAAAGATGTACCAGTGGTGAAGCAATTCATCGATGTTTTCCGAATGGCTTACCAAGGTTACCGCTTGCGAGGGAAATTGAATTTACCATCGATTTACTTCCAGGAACAGACCCTATCTCTTTAGCACCTTATCGAATGGCACCAGTGGAATTGAGGGAATTGAAGGTTCAACTTCAGGAGTTAGTGGATAAGGGTTACATCCAACCCAGCATGTCTTCCTAGGGTGCTCCTGTTTTGTTTGTTAAAAAGAAGGATGGATCGATGAGACTTCGCATCGACTATCGGTAGCTAAACCGAGTGATGGTGAAGAATCGTTATTCTCTACCTCGGATCGATGACCTGTTTGACCAGCTGAAGCGTGCTCAGGTGTTCTCTAAGATCGATCTTCGCTCAGGTTATCATCAGCTGTTAATTTGGGAGGAAGATGTACCGAAGACTGCATTCTGCACTAGGTACAGACACTTTGAATTTCGTGTCATGCCTTTCGGATTGACGAATGCACCTGCAGCTTTTATGGATTTGATGAATAGAGTTTTCAGACCGTATCTGGACCGGTCTGTGACTGTGTTCATCGATGATATTCTGATCTTTTCCAAAAGTTTTAACGAGCACAAGAAGCATTTAAGGTTGTTGCTGGAAAGGTTGAGAAGTGAGCAACTGTATGCTAAGTTTAGCAAGTGTCAATTCTGGCTAAACCAAATTAGCTTTCTCGGTCATGTAGTATCTGCTGAGGGGATTAGTGTGGATCCTCAGAAGGTGTCGGTAATAACTACGTGGGAGCAACTAAGGAATGTTACAGAAGTGAGGAGTTTTCTAGGTGTGGCTGGTTATTACCGAAGATTTGTTCAAGGTTTCTCAGCCATTGCCTTACCTTTGAATAAGTTGACTTGGAAGGAAGTTGAGTTTAAGTGGGATGAAGATTATGAGCAGAGTTTTAGGAGCTGAAGCGATGTCTTACTCAAGCTCCCGTTCTTACTCTTCCAGATGATAGCGGTGAGTTTGATATCTACACGGATGCATCTCTATCAAGTTTGGGTTGTGTACTGATGCAGCATGATAAAGTCATTGCTTATGCTTCCAGACAACTCAAAATCCATGAGAAAAACTATCCCACTCATGATTTGGAACTTAGTGTAGTAGTGTTTGCTCTGAAGATTTAGAGACATTATTTATACGGTGAGAAGTGTAAAATCTTTATTGATCATAAGAGCCTCAAGTATATCTTTACGCAGAGAAGATGGATGGAACTTATCACTAATTATAACTGCACGATCGAGTATCATCCCAGACATGCCAATGTAGTGGCGGATGCCCTTAGTCGGAAATATCACGGACAGCTTGCATCTTTTCAAGCTATTCATGTTCCGCTACTATTTTCTCTTTGAGAAACAACGTTGTCGATGAGACCGGGTGAGCAGGGAGCTTGGTTGGCAAATTTCCAGGTTAGACCTGTTTTGGTGGATATGGTCATAGAAGCCCAGGAGCTT